GGACATATTTTGTCAGATGCAGGGAGGTGAAACTGCAAGTATTGGTCCCACAGATTGCACTGGGCCTGTAGAATCTTATGAGCATTTTCAACTGGGAAAAAAGAAGGGAATTTTCAAGATTCTTGCTCATTTTTCATTACTCCAGCCATTTGTCTTACCACTGCTGCCTGAGGTCAAGAACAAGATGGCAATCCCCTTCATTCTCTGTGAAGAATCCAACTAGATTAGTAGCTTCACACTTCTTCCACAATGTCAATGGAAGAGCAACCTCTACCATACCAAAGAGGCCCAGAGCAAGACACGTAGCACATTCCTTCCCACATGTTGTTGCTGCCTCCTAAGCAATTGCTGCTTTAGGGGACTGTCTCGTTCTGCCTAATAGTAGTGTTTGCCCTAGGAATGAGATTAATTTAGGACTGGGAATAATGGTTTCATACAATGCTATTTACTTCACATAGCACCTGCCTTAATTACTATTTATATGCTACTACAGTGGAGAGAGAATGTATTTGAAATGCTACCTTTGACAAAACCAGTATGTGTGTGTGTATCTAGTTAAAACATTATTTCCCACTGAATTTTATCAACAACTACTTTGGTCAGTTGTATCCTATCTGGTCTTGCACAGGTCATGATGGAATGTGACATAAATAAACTATCTAACTGTTATAGAGAGAGTGATTGTATATACCAGGTGCCCTCAAACTAAGGCCAGCGGGCCGGATATAGCCCTCCAAGGTCATTTACACGGCCCTTGCTCAGGGTCAACCTAAGTCTGAACTGACTCGAAAGCACACAACAACAACAACAATCTCATCAGCCAAAAGCAGGCCCACACTTCCCATTGAAATACTAATATATATAAAATGCTCTGTGCATAATGAGTACCTTAAAAACAAAAGAACCAATGAACGAAATCACACCAAATTTGGCAACAAAACATCTCACAACACAAGGAGTGACCATCACTCAAAAAATTATGATTTTGTCACTTGGGAGTTGTAGTTGCTGGGATTTATAGTTCACCTACAATCAAAGAGCATTCTGAACTCCATCAACGATGGAATTGAACCAAACTTGGCACACAGAACTCCCATGACCAACAGAAAATACTGGAAGGGTTTGTGGGCATTGACTGTGAGTTTGGGTGTTAGTTCATCTATTTATTTATTTTATTTATTTACAGCTTTTATATTCTTCCCTTCTCACCCCGCAGGGGACTCAGAGTGGATTACAGTGTAATGATGGCAAACATTCAATGCCAATTTTAGACATACAAACATATACAGACATACACAGAGGCTATTTAACTTTTTCTGGCCGCCAGGGGAGCTGTCGCTTTCATCGTCCATCTGCGACGCTGATGAAGCACTTCCGCATTCCCGCATGCTTCCCCGCTGGAATGCTTTGCTGGAGTCTTCTTTATGGCCTCATAAATTAGTTAATTTAGCCTCCCCACACTTTTTAAGGTGGTACCTTATTTTCCTACTTGACAGATGCAACTGTCTTTCGGGTTGCAAAGGTCGACAACAGGCTACACACAATTGGTTGGAAACCCACTCCAACCCGGGCTGGCTTCGAACTCATGACCTTCTGGTCAGAGTTGATCTACATCCAGAGAGCACTGTAGACTCAAACAATGATGGATCTGTACCAAATTTGGCACAAGCACTCAATACGCCCAAATATGAACACTGATGGAGTTTGGGGGAAATAGACCTTGACATTTGGGAGTTGTAGTCACTGGGATTCACAGTTCACCTACAATCAAAGAGCATTCTGAACCCCACGAACGACAGAATCGGGGCAAACTTCTCACACACCACCATGACCAACAGAAAATACTTAAGGCCATCCAATCCAACTCCCTTCATCAGGGCAAGAAAACATAAACAAAGTCCTCCTGACAAAAAGCCATCCAGCCATAGATATAGATAGATAGATCGATATAGATATAGATAGATATGATTCACACAGAGAGAGATAGAATCATAGAATCCAAGAGTTGGAAGAGAACTAATGGGCCATCCAGTCCAACCCCCTGCCAAGAAGCAGGAATATCGCATTTAAAGCACCCCTGAGATGGCCATCCAGCCTCTGTTTAAAAGCTTCCAAAGAAGCAGCCTCCACCACACTCTGGGAGAGAGTTCCACTGCTGAATGGCTCTCACAGTCAGGAAGTTCTTCCTAATGTTCAGATGGAATCTCTATTTTTGAATGATGTGTCCAAGGAAGCAGAAAACAAGCTTGCTCCCTCCTCCCAGTGGCTTCCTCTCACATATTTATACATGGCTATCATATCTCCTCTCAGCCTTCTCTTCTTCAGGCTAAACATGCCCAGCTCCTTAAGCCGCTCCTCATAGGGCTTGTTCTCCAGACCCTTGAACATTTTAGTCGCCCTCCTCTGGACACATTCCAGCTTGTCAATATATATCTTGTCAAAGATATAGCATCACAGATTTGAAAGGGACCCCTAAAGAAGGACAATTATATGTTGCATGTTCCAGAGTAGGCAAACCAGACAATCTCCACATCAACAACAAGGAATACTGTTCACCCACAAGCATAAAGGAATTACATATATTAGAAACCATTACTTTATTTTCCAGATCACCAGACTGGGCCACAGCAACACGTGGCAGGGGATGGCTAGTAAGTTTATATTTCTTAAAATTGTTCATTTAAGGTATTGTATTGTTTTTAAGTGTTTTGTACTACAAATAAGATATTGTGCAGTGTTCACAGGAATTCATTCATTTTTTTTTTCAAATTATAATCCGGCCCTCCAACAGTTTGAGGGACTGTGACCTGACCCTCTGTTTAAAAAATTTGAGGTCCCCTGATATATACAGTGTGTGTCTTTCAGTGCACAAATAGCACCACACAGCAGATTATCCTCAAAATAATACTGTGATTTGCCCAGTGGGATGTAGAAATAAGTGAGAGGCTTTCTTGGGGACAGGAGTGGAGATTAATGGAGTACACATATTGTGACACAAATAGTTTTTCAGAACCATTCACTGCCTGAAATAGCAGGGAGCTTTCCTAAAGGAGCCATCCATTTAATGCTTGGACTGGATTGATGATGCCCTTAGGAATGGACTGAGCACTAAACCCAGGCAGGAGGTGTACAAAAGAAATGTAAAAAGAAAACACTGCAAGGGAGTTCCCATGGGTGCATGTAGCATATGGCCCGCTGGGAAATCAACAGAGGTGCCTGCACTGAGACAGGTAATAAGGAAGTGGTTTGCTACTAATTCCTCTCTTGCACAAACCAAACAACTTGCTGACTACATTCTGAGTCATATAAAATTCACTCTAGTATGCCTTCTCTTCTTCAGAGAATTGAACTATGCACTCTATCATTTTCTTTCTTATTTTGACCAGCTGTAATTGGTCTGGTATACACAGATCTCCTCTGCACCTTGTGCCTTTCCTGTCCTTCTTTCCTCTCCCCATTAAAGCAGGGATACAGGAGCAAACAATCAGCACAAATTCTTCCAGGGCTTGTTTTGAAAGCATGTTAACGTTAACACCAATAATAATGGATAAAAAATTCCCCCAAAATTTAAAAGATATATTAGATAAAAAAGAGAGAAGAATAGAGTCAAGACGAAGATCCACCCAGAGGAAAAGTGTTCTTGCCATACATCAAGGAAACCACTGACCGCATAGGGAAGCTGATGAGGAAACACAACATACAAACTATCTACAGATATTTCCATTTTAACTTTACATTTGGCCTTCCCACTGTTTTTAATTGTGTGTTGTCTTATTGATAATGTTGTATATTTTATTGTCTATGTTTATTTTAATTGCTTGTACTGTTGTTGTTTTGCTTGTATTGTTGTATTCGGGCTCGGCCTCATGTAAGCCGCACCGAGTCCCTTGGGGAGATGGTAGCGGGGTACAAATAAAGTTTATTATTATTATTATTATTATTATTATTATTATTATTATTATTATTCTACCCCAACTAGTTTGTGCCACAAGCTATGTTGAATTGGTTGAGACTCAATAAGATACTCATCTGCAGGAGTCTACTGTATACCATGCAGCTGTGGACAATCTACATAGGGACTACCAAACGCAGCAGTGCGCAAACACAAATCAAGGAACATGAAAGGCACTGCAGACTACTTCAACCAGAGAAGTCAGCCATAGCAGAGCACCTGATGAACCAACCTGGACACAGCATATTATTTGAGAACACAGAAATGCTGGACCACTCTCACAACCACCATGTCAGACTACACAGAGAAGCTAATTGAAATACACAAGCATGTGGACAATTTCAACAGAAAGGAGGAAACCATGAAAATGAACAAAATCTGGCTACCAGTATTAAAAAAATCTCTAAAATTACAACAGCACAACAACAGAGAGGAAACAAACAAGGACATCTAATAACCTCTCAACAAAAGATTGCTCCAGGCACTGCCAGGCCATCAAATGCTAATCAAGGTGGTCAGTTGAAACATTCACACCTAGCTCCAGCAGACAAGAGTCCTTTGTCCCACCCTGGTCATTCCACAGATATATAACCCCTTTTTCCTAGTTCCAACAGACCTCACTACCTCTGAGGATGCTTGCCATAGATGCAGGCGAAACGTCAGGAGAGAATGCCTCTAGACCATGGCCATATAGCCCGAAAAAGCCTACAACAACTCACTGTTGCAAAGCTTCCCATGAATGTGGTGGACCAATCTTATCAGGATTCCCAATCACATGGACTTCTGTAATCATACTCGTTTGAATCCCATTACCGACCCTTTTGCAGATCTTCCTTGTAAACAGAGGGCAGGGAGTGGGATTGAAACATGCATTATGACTCCCTTCTGCATAATTTAAAAACAGAAAGCTTGAAGATGAGCTGGCATTGTCTTTGAAGCACAGAGGCAACACAGCAGGGCTAGTTCTGCCAATTCATCTACACCAAAGTTATGCTCCATTGCAAAGGTGCCAATGGCCCATTAGACATACAGCATAAAGCCTACTTGCCTTGTTGCTCAGGTTCACATTGGCGTTTCTTGTGAGAAGCAAGGAGACCATATCCACGTGGCCCTCTTGTGAGGCCAGATGCACTGGAGCAATTCCCTGCCTGGTCACAGCATTGGCATCAGCACCATATTCCAGCAATGTAGTTGCAATATCCATCTGGTTCTTCTTGGCAGCGATGTGCAGCGGTGTGTAACCATTCTGTCAACCAAAAGATGTTTGGTTATCAACTTATGCAAGTCATATTAGTAATACACTCTTTCTTCCTTATATCCTGACTGTGTCAAAGTCTTTTCAAGTAGAAACACATAACTTTGTTTACTTCATTCTTGTACAGAAGAAATACAAATTCAAATGTTTTCTCTGTGACTGGTGAAATGTCAACAATTTTGGACATTTGAATGTTTGAAGTTTTTAAAACTTAGGCATTTTTCCACACAATACAAGTTTGCATGAAATACAATTGTGCATACAAAATGTCAATTAAATAAGTGCTGTCATTCCCGTTTTTATTGTATCTATCTCCCCCCCCCCCCAAAGGAATGCCTTAATGTGTTGAGACAGCCTTTGTTGCCAAGGATGAGAAAGCTTTTGAATATTCATCCATATTCTCAAAGTTTCTTTTGCTCACGGACATTGTCGTTGAGATAGGGAAACATTATTCTTTAATTTGCAGGCTCTTGTGAAAATATACCAATACATGTTTAAATGATTTTTATCTCCTAGATATGGGGATACTTCACTGGTTGAATTCCACAAAATACATCTGAGTTTTTCTGTTTACTTGCCTGTTAAAATACATTGTTGGCTTTTTAAAAATTCTAGATCAGTGGTTCCCAACCTTTTTTTGATCAGGCACCACTTGACCAGGGACCACTTTGACCAGGAACCACTTTGATCATGGACCTTTCTCCAACATTAGTATCAAAAGGGTTATGAATCAGTTTTTGGTCAACTTTAGATTACGTTTGGGGTGCTGATTCAGAAAATTGTGTTGGATAGACCATATCAGCTCTAGTTTCTGATACAGAACATATGCCATGGTCAGCCACAGAGAGCCCCCGGTGGTGCAGTGGGTTAAACCCCTGTGCCGGCAGGACTGAAGACCGACAGGTTGCAGGTTCAAATCCGCGCTTTCTCTATTAGCTCCATCTCCTAATGTGGGAACATGAGAGAAGCCTCCCACAAGGAGGGTAAAATATCAAAACATCCAGGCGTCTCCTGGGCAACGTCTTTGCAGACGGCCAATTCTCTCACACCAGAAGCGACTTGCAGTTTCTCAAGTCACTCCTGACACGACAAAAAAAAAAAGCAACAGGGAAGGAGTGGCTAGCGGCATGAAAGGAGTGGAAATAAATAAAATAAATAAATAAAGAGAAAGGATGCTTGAGGACCAGATTTTTATCCTCATGGCCCACTGGTGGTCCGCAGCCCACAAGTTAAGAACCACTGTTCTAGACAGATCAAGGAGGTTAAAGAAGAAAACACGAGAACACCAATCCATTAGGAAAAAAACAGGGCTTGTCCTGTTAGCATATTTTCTCCCCTTCATCCCTAGTGAAGTGAACATGAAGGTTGAAACCCAATCTCATAAAAACACTGAGACTATAAAAACAATAAGAGAATCAGCAACTGGGCTGTCAGGCTACAGGACTAGATATATGATTAAAGGTTAATGACTCATGGTAATATTAAGAAAGACGGAAGCGGAACCCTTGTATAAGGGAGTAGATATCCTCCAAGAAGATCTGAGCAACATGCTGGAATCTCTCACTTTATCCTTCTGCACAATAAACAGGGAAGCATTTAGGTGAAGGGTAGCATCTTGTGTTGTCTAGGCTAAGGAAAGAATTGGCCTAATACGTCTTGCTGCCTACCATTGCATTCACAGAAACCAACCTAGCCATAAAACTGCGTTGTTGTAGGTTTTTTCAGGCTATATTGCCATGTTCTAGAGGCATTATCTCCTGACGTTTCGCCTGCATCTATGGCAAGCATCCTCAGAAGTATTGAGGTCTGTTGGAACTAGGAAAATGGGTTTATATATCTGTGGAATGACCAGGGTGGGACAAAGAACTCTTGTCCCTTGGAGCTAGGTGTGAATGTTTGAACTGACCACCTTTGATGGCCTGGCAGTAGTTTGGTGTGGCTTGTTGGTGCCTGGGGCAATCTTTTATTGGGAGGTGATTAGATGTCCCTGATTGTTCCCTCTCTGTTGTTTTGCTGTTGTAATTTTAGAGTTTTTTTAATACTAGTAGCCAGCTTTTGTTCATTTTCATGGTTTCCTCCTTTCTGTTGAAATTGCCCACATGTTTGTGGATTTCAATAGCTTCTCCGTGTAGTCTGACATGGTGGTTGTGAGAGTGGTCCAGCATTTCTGTGTTCTCAAATAATACACAGTGTCCAATTTGGTTCATCAGGTGCTCTGCTATGGCTGACTTCTCTGGTTGAAGTAGTCTGCAGTGTCTTTCATGTTCCTTGATGCATGTTTGGGCAAGGCTGTGTTTGGTGTTCCCTATGTAGACTTGTCCACAGCTGCATGGTATACGGTAGACTCCTGCAGAAGCGATAGGATCCCTCTTGTCCTTTGCTGAACATAGCATTTGTTGGATTTTCTTGGTGGGTCTGTAGATGGTTTGTATGTTGTGTTTCCTCATCAGCTTCCCTATGCAGTCAGTGGTTTCCTTGATGTATGGCAAGAACACTTTTCCTCTGGGGGGATCTTCATCGTTACTGTCGTGGCTTGTTCTTGGTCTTGCAGCTCTTCTGATGTCTGAGATGGAGTATCCATTGGACTGTAGAGCCCAGTTGAGGTGGTTCAGTTCATCTTGGAGAAGGTGGGGTTCACAGATTCTTTTTGCACTGTCTGTCAAGGCTTTAATGGTGCTTCTTTTTTTGACTTGGGTGATGGTTGGAGTTTTTATGTAGTATCTATCTCTGTGTGTGGGTGGGTTTTCTGTAAATGGTGTGACCCAATTGTTGATCTGGTTTACGGATGACTAGGACATCTAGAAAAGGCAGTCGTCAGGAAAGAATGCCTCTAGAACATGGCCATATAGCCCAAAAAAACCTACAACAACCCAGTGATTCCGGCCATGAAAGCCTTCGACAATACACCAGCCATAAAAACCTGAAAAATGAGAAGAACATGCTATCTTTGCAGAGCCTGATAACCTGGGAAAGTGCTAATTGAGTAAATAGGGATCTCGAAAGGAAAGTATGGTTTGTGAAGAAGAGAAAACATTTCTTAGTGACTTCTAATTCTCTCAAGAGGCTTGGTTCCACGATTTCCCTCATCGTCAATTTGTTTGAAGTAGTTACATCCTGCCTCTTAATCCTGTTTCCAGAAACAGGCTACTACAGATACAAAAATACTAAGTGAATGCACTTGGAAGGGATATATATACAAGCTACATGAAAACAGGGACCAGTTGGAAAAGGAAGATAGCCGAGGATGAACAGATGTGCACTTTGAAAGCAACAAAGAGCGTTGTAGCACCTTAAAAGCAGCCAAATTTATTAGGGCATAAACTTATTACAGCATATGCTTGGTATGTCTTTATAGCTCTCAGGTACATGAAGAGACTGGTGTGCAGCTATTCACTTTGTGGCGTCCTGATACAGAAAATTATTCTAAAGTATCAAGTAGAAAGGAAGAGAGAGAGAGAAAAGCTACTAGGAGACCATTTCTGCCTGAGCAATAGGACATTTATTTATCAAACCAAATGTCTAATGGGAGTAGAAAATCATCTGCTATCAACATACAATCTCTTAGCTGACTGCACAACATGCAGCCTAAAGCAGTGCGGGATGCCGCCATTAATTCCAAGACTGATGCTCAGTTTGTTTCATTTCTATGCCTTGCATACGGAAATATGTTTTGTTTAGGAAAGTCTCCTGGCAGCAACTTCAAACACCAAAGTGGCAGCTGCTAACCCATTTGGTCAGGGACAGGCGAATCAAGTGACCCAATCTATAATTTCTGGTATTCTTTCATATATATTTTTGTTGTTGTTGCTTTGTTACAGAGAACCACTGGCTCTAGGAGCAAGAATAGCCTCTGCCCGTAGGAAAAAGAAAGATGCTTTGCAATTCAGAATTAAAATAGGTCATTGTCCTGTCCCCTATATAAAGGCTGTACTTAAACTGTTGTATTGTTTCATGTCAGTGCACGGCAATGTTAAAGATTTGGAAGTGAAGCTCAGTATCTCCGGAAGTGCAGTGAAGGCATATCACTCACAAAACGAGGTCCTGCTTACCCTTCAAGCTCTTCATATGAATTTGATTTGCCTTTCCTTCCCAATACATAGTAAGTGACCCACGGCTTATACTATGATTTTTCTCTGTGATCCTCTTTATCTCTATTCATGCAAAAGGATCTGACAACTAGGCATTTAATCATCCACTGGAAGGCAATCCAAAGGGAAATCTACATGCAACTTTGAAAAAAAATCCCTTTGACAAAGTCTTAAAATATATCTCTGAAATTGAAGAGCTCTGTTGTTGAGCATGAGGAATATAAACCATTATTTCTGTTACGGTAGTAAAGGTTGTCCCTGTCCAGTCATGCCTGACTCTGGGGTGTGGTGCTCATCTCCATTTCTAAGCCGAAGAGCCGGCGTTGTTCATAGACACCTCCAAGGTCATGTGTCCAGCATGACTGCATGGAGCGCCGTTACCTTCCCACCAGAGCGGTATCTATTGATCTACTCACATTTGCACGTTTTCGAACTGCTAGGTTGGCAGAAGCTATGGCTGACAACAGAAGCTCACACCACTCCCCGGAATCAAACCTGTGACCTTTCGGTCAACAAGATCAGCAGCTCAGTGCTTTAACCCACTGCGCCACTGGGGGCTCCTGCTGTTATGGTATCTGAACATATTTCAGCCCGTTTATTTTAAAGCTTACAGGCAAAATTGGTTATTATTTATATGTGATTTATATTAATTGTATTGTACTTATTGCTTCTGTTTATTGCTTTTTGGTTTTATTGATGTGTTGTTGGGCTTGGCCTCGCGTAAGCCGCTCCAAGTCCCTTGGGGAGATGGTGGCGCGGGGTATAAATAAAGTTATTATTATTATTATTATTATTATTATTATTATTATTATTATTATTATTATCAGACATTATTTGTAAGATTGTTTTTTCTCAGTCAGGCCCGTAGCCAGGATTTTGATTTGGGGAGGGGGGGCTGATTTT